AACTCCGACGAAACAGTTTGTCACAGCCCCTCGTTTGTTGTCCTCTTCTCTCTCTCTGCCTACGGTTTACCGGGCAGTTCTGTTTGTGACGATATATATATATATATATATATATATGTGCTCCTGTTTATTTGTTGTTGTTCTGTAGCTCATTCTGTGTGTGGCTTGGAACTCGGGACTGACGGCCAGTCAGTCAGACGAAAGGTCGTGGGATCGAGTCCTCTGGAGACCATTTTTTTTTTTTTTTTCAGTTTTGGTTTTCAATTGTTGGTGAGCATCTTCTCCCATCGTGATTCCCACCTTATCCTGGCCACACGTTCTCGTCGAGACTTTGATCTCACCCTTTTTTCCTTCTCCTCCTCCCTCTCCTCCTGCCTCTCCTCCTCCCTCTCCTCCTCCTCCTCCTCCTCCCTCTCCTTCTCCTCCTTCTCCCCCACGTTCTTCCATCTACTATGTTGTTCTCCCTCTTCTCCTCTTCGGCATCGTTACTGTCCATGTATGCTGCAGAGATTGCAATCAGATCGGAGGCATTTGGGAGAGGGAGGTGGTATGTTTGATCTGATCGCACGAGTAAAACTCCTTATCCGTTTCTTATCCGTTTTTGGATTTGATTGGTCTACGTAAGCAATCAAGAGTGATGGGTTGGCGGGAATGTGATCCAGAGCATAGATAGACTGGAGAAAGTAGGTAGTGGATTGGGGGAGGATAAAGGGAATGATTATGAGGAAAGGGAGAGGAGGGAGGAAGGGGAGAGGGAGAGGAGGAGAAAGGGAGAGTGGGAGATTGGATCGATGATGTGGCTGATCTGTGGGTAGCTATTGGGATCGGGATCTGGCCACGTGGGCATGCATGTGCGTCAGCATTTCTGCGGCTTGTGTGATCGACTGTACTTCGATAGTCTCTCTGACTCAGGGCGTGGGATCGAATTCAGGTTAAATTTGCCTGAGAGAGTGATGGGGAGAGGATGGAGAAAGGGGAGACAGAGGGAGGTCATGAGTGCTGCTCTCTCTCTCTCTCTCTTTCTCTTTCCTTTCCCTCTCTCTCTCTCTCTCTCTCTCCCCTCGCTTCTTTGTATTGGAACAATACGTAATATTCAAAGCGGCTGAATGTGGTCGAAATTGCTGTTGTGTTCATAACTCATCTCCGTCAAGTAGATAGATGATCTCGCTGCTGTTGTCTTTCGTCTGCCTACCGTCTTCCCCCGGACATATCGCACCCTTATAATGAATGACTGCATCGGACTGGGAAGATAGCTTGTATACATTCAGGATCAGGGTGCGTTGTGTTCGGGGTGGGGCAAGACGGTAGTCCTCGTGGAAGGTAATAAGCAGCACACAAGTGTTTATTTTTCAGTTTTTATTTAAAGCACACTAGGACGTCTTTTTTTTGTTTCTGAGGGGAAATCAGGGCGTCTGATTTGCTGGTGGACAAAGAGCCGCGTACCTATGCTTCATCGTCTTTCTTTTGTCGTTTTCTTCTCGACGCTGTCATCATCTGTTCTGCCCGTCTTCTCTCTATCTCTTCTCTGAGAGTAACTGCACACAGGGAGCAGGAATAGATAGGAAAGCGTTAGTGGTCACACTATCTGGGACGAGGTCCCACTGGCAAAGAGGATCTGATCTACAACCTGAATCTGGACGTGTTCGTGGGAACGTGCAGAATATCGTGATTCTTCTGCTCTTCTGCACCTGTGCCGAAAATCCATCCAGATTCGGGCACATAGGCCAACCCTCCGTGCTAGTGGGACTCTGCCTCTGGAGTGAAGCAACAGTCTGCATTTGGGAACAGAGCTAGCATAAGCTAAACCGGGCTGATGCTGCCGGGATAACCCCGGGGGGGGGGAGGGTAGAAATTTGAGGACGAGGGGATCAATTTAATTTTTTCTTTCTCTATCGGAATAGGACATTGGTCTTGTTTAAAAAAAAAAAAAAAAAAAAAAAAAAAGAAGTGCGGAAAGAACAAAAGAAAAAAAAAAAAAAAAAAAATAGCAGAGTGGCCCGGGGCCACTTGCCCGGCGGGGCCAAAAAACAATAAGAAAAAAAAAGCAAGTATTTTTTAAATTTATTTTTCATTTTAAATTTGGTAAAGAATTTCGATGTGACCCTGAGGCAAAAGTCGTTCGAATTATTTTTCTGCACACCGTAATTTTTTTTTCCGGATTTTTTTTTTTTTTTTTTTTTTTGGTAGGACCTTCCCTGATCCTTGCACGGCCGGGCCGTCCGGGGAAATAGGGTGACCCGGGCAGTCTGGCTGGTAGCCTAGGTAAATACAGCTTCCACCCCCCCCTCCCCCACCCCGCCCTTTTTATTCTTGTTTTTTTTTTGTTAGACAAAAGACTCAGCTCATTGTATTCTATTCTACACAGCAATTTACTACACGTCCTACATTATGGCTGTATTTAGGGCATCTTTCAGTCTAAATAAGGAAAAAAAAGTAAAAAAATAAAAATAAAAAATTTCGCAGGAGACCCCGTAAACCAGTGAGTGAGAATACGGAATGCCTACCTTCTTACCCCGAATACAACGCACGGCCATTATGGCTGTATTTAGGGCATTTTTCAGTCTAAATACAACTAAAATGACCGTGCGTTGTATTGGGGATAAGAAGAAGGTAGGGCTCCGCACCCAAAACGGCGGGATGTATCATCCCCACCGTCCATATATCCTCCACGGTCGACGATTGGCAGCAGTCCCACACAGGCACAACTATACTAAGGGCATACTCACACTAGGGTAGTACGTTGTTAAATGTATGTATCTGACTGCAATTACGGTCCTACCTCGATGTATCTGACCGCAATTACGTCCAAATGCGCTAAACTACACACGGATAGCATGTAGGCCGAGACCCCTGCCCGTTGTGATCTGCGAATTGGGTTCACCGCTCGATCCCGCCCTGCACCACACTCTACTGTCTTCCACCGAACACAACGCACCCTCATTTTGGCTGTATCTGGCCGGAAATATAGCTTGTATACATTCATTATGAGGGTGCGTTGTGCCCGGGGGAAGAGGGTACCGTCTTCCCCCGAACATAACGCACCCTAAAAATGAATGTATACAAGCTATATTTCCGGCCAGATACAGCCAAAATGAGGGTGCGTTGTCCCCAGGGGAAGAGGGTAGTGTTCTGTCTTCATCGCCGGTGCCATCCAATCTAACATTGGTTTATTCCGTGCAGTCCGCGTTCGCTTCTTCATTATGGCTGTACCGGACTGGAAACATAGCTTACATACATTCAATATGAGGGTGCGTTGTGTTTTTTTTTTTCTATTCGGAGATTGACGGGGCGGAAGATCGATACCTCGCTCGCTTCTTCGCTTTGCGGCTCTGGTGAGGAGGGTGTACTAGATCAGTTTTTTTTTTTTTTAATCGTGATTAAAAAAAAAAATCGACCGTTTCTCGATTTAAGCGTGTCATCGTTGCCGAGGGCCCCTGCTGCTGATCTTGTCTAGGTTCTCTGTATCGTTCCAATTTTAACGGATGTTCCGGAGGTCGAGATCACATTTCATTTCTCTCTCTCTCTGTCTCTCTCTCTCTTCCCCCCCCCCCCTCACCTTTCATTCTTTCTCTTTCTTCTTTTTCTCTTATCGCACCTCTCTGTCTCTTGCTCACTATCTTTCTTCACACCTGTCATTCTCTCTCTCTCTCTCTCTCTCTCTCTCTCTTCTTACCGTTCGTTCTCTCTCTCTCTCGTGCTTGTTCTCTCATCCCTCTCTCTCTCTCTCTATCTCGTGCGCGATTGGTCCAGATGCAGCTGGGATCAAAAACCTCTGGGGCTT